ACGTCTCCTTGCCCCCCTGGCAACAGCATTCTTGACGACGGTCGTCGGAGGCTGTCCAAACAGCATCCTTGCCCCCCCGCGTGAAGTACGTTCGTCGGGGGCTGCCTCAATATTTCCTGACGATGTCCGTGTATGGTTGTATGGAAAGACGTGCGTGCCCTATTGGTAGCATGGACACGACCCTTCTGTGCCCTTCATTGTTGACGCAGTACGGAAAATTCCTCCGATACCTCGATACCGAGGCCGGCCTGCCGTCCACACAGCATTTTTACAATTGGGGGACGTCCGTCGGTAATCGCTTCGATGGTACGGTTCTCAAGTGCGGACATATGGATGTGTTTCACTGGGGAAGCGTCAGGTGGCGACGTTCGTCTACCGTTGCGTGTTGAAATTCGGTGACCGGAAAGACGAGCGTGGCCGGTTGATGAACTGTGCAGACATGGGAAGACGAATGTCTCCACAACCCTCCTGCGGGGACGTCCGTGGCATGGATCCGGATATCTTCGTGGTGGTTACGCGGCGACGAAATCGAGGTGCTTAAATACCGTGGTAGGTACCGGTACCCAGGCACCACGTGTCCCGCTTCGGTTGGTGTGTTCCGGCGGTGCTGCCTATAAGTATTCAGAACCCATGTAATCCACCCATTCTTCTCCTTACGCTGCACAATTGTCTTCTCTCTCTAGGTTTCTCTCAACTCGTACCGGAAGTCCCAATTCCCAAAGGTACCGTTCGTTGCCATGTCTTCTGAAAATCGTTTCGACGATGGATGTTCTTCCGGTGATGACTTGGAATATTATGAGCGGGGAATGCCACCCTGGCCTCCCCGTTATAGCCTCAGCTTCTCGTACGTTCGGCGTCAAGTTCAACGCCTGACGAACGCTGACAAGCGTCTGATCAGCCAATGGTTCTATCCTCCCAGAACCTACGACGATCGGCGTCTGCGCAACCCCATGCGCCATCTGCCCGGCTACGTGGTGGTCCACTTGGATTCGGTGGTAGCCGGGCTGAACTTTCCCCTGCATGGCTTCCACTTGGAACTTTTCAGGGCCCTCGAGATAGTACCCGCGCAGTTCGTCCCTGCCGCTTATCGGATAATCGCTGGCTTCATCATTAGATGCCACAGCGTCGGTGTGACCCCCACCGTGGACCTGCTGCACCATTTCTTCCGGCTGTCCCCATTCGGACGTACGGGGTATTTGACCCTGATAGCCCGTCCGTCCATGGTTCTCTTCTCGAACAATGCCGGGAATCCGGACGGATGGGAAGAGCGTTTCTTTCTAGCCGGGGTAGGCTCACCGATGCCATTCTCCGACCGGTGGAATGCTTACCCGGTGAAGACGATCCCGCCGCCCATGACGGACGAGGAGCTCGGGTATGCCAAGCGCATAGCCGGACTTGGCATCCAGAATCTCCGATCGCTGGTGGCCGAGCCCTTTAAAGCTCAGGCTGGGTTAGGTGCGTCCGTTTGTACTTGTATTGTTTTGACATCTCTTCGCTGTTATGGCTCTGAACGTCTTGGTTCCTTTTGTGCAGGAGTTTTCCCATCCACGTCCGTCATGAGCCGGATCAATACCGCTTCATCTGCCGCCGGTCGTGATCACAAGGGGCGCGACCATCCCGGAAAGCCGCTCGTCCCCAAGGTTGAGCCCCGGGTGACCAGGGCACGGGCCGATGAAACTTCGGGGGCCGGCGCCCCCAAGAGGCCGCGTGTGGAGGGCACTTCCTCCAAGGCCATCATCTTGGCCGATGATTCTGATGGGGAGCCCGGAAGCCCCCTTAAGCGGAAACCCACTTCCCGGGCCCATCTCCGTGCTTCTCCTCCGCGGAATTCCGACGTCCGTCGTCTTCGGGACGATGATGCCCAAGCTGCCAAGGGTTCTGACGACGCTCGTCCAAACTCTCCCCCAGGAGCCAGTGAGTCTTCTCTTGGCCTGATCGAGTTCTCTGGGGTTGGGCCCCGCAAGGAGTCAATGATGCTCTTTGGTCAAACGGCGTCCTCTATATGGTGCGGCCTGAATCTCAAGGTCCCGCAGGACTTCGCTGCTCAGGAGGCTCCTGAAGATCTGTTGGAGTGCGGCCAGAGCACGCTGGACAAGGCTGGGCTCTACTTCCATAGGGCTCGGATGGCTTTCGAGCGCCAGGGCAGGGAGATGGCCAGAGTACGGGCCGAATGTGATGCCCTTCTGAGGAGTGCAAAAGGCAGGGCTGGCACCCTTCAAGAGAAGGCCGAGGCCTATGACAAGCTTGTTCAGGAGAATGCCTCTCAGAAGGAGCTTCTCAAGAAGCAGGAGGCCGAGCTCGTGGATCTCCGCAGCCGGATGTGGGCCGTAGAGCAGGCCAAGGTGGAGCTTCGCCAGACGGGCATGGACAACCATGTCCCTATTTATGAGGCCGATGTTGCCAAAATCAAGGAGTCTGGTTCCATTGCCTTCCAGAGGTCCAAAGCTTACACTGGTGCCATCCACACCATGGCCATGAAATTCCTCCCGAGGCTCGTCGGAGAATTTCTGGCCACCTGCCCGGACGCCTACCTGGACGGGGTCAAATTGCTCCAGGCCACCCCCACCGGACGGCGTTTCCTTAATGACCTTGCCGATGATACTTATCGCAAGGGTATGGTCGGGCTCGTAGCGGAGAATCTCCCCACGTTCGAGCGTCATTTCGGGGCTCCTTTCGATCCGGAGGCGGCTGGCTTCGACATCCTGATGGCTGATGCCCATGCGGGAGCCCTTGAGCTGCTGAGAGAGCAGGCGGAAGCCAAAGCCAGTGAAGAATGCAAGCAGGCTCTTTCCAAAGTTCCAGCTCCGGACGTTGATCAAAAGTGATTTCCCGTTCATGACCTTGTAATTGCACAACTTTTCCATTATTTTCACTATCTTGTGATTTCCCGGCCGATAGTGCCGAAGAATAAAAATCATTCTTTGCTCCATGCTCGTCTGGCTCTTTTTTTTTTTTTTTTTTTTTTTTTTTTTTTTTTTTTTTTTTTTTTTTTTTTTTTTTTTTTTTTTTTTTTTTTTGGAGTCTTTTAGTCTTCGTTCGTCCTTGGTCCCTGGTCCCACCGGCGTCCCCACTTCGAGGAGACGTTCGGTGTCCGCCGACATCACAAGGAGGAACAGGTTTATCTACATCGAGATTCCCCCCTTTTTTCGTTCGTCCGTGGTCCTTTAGCCTTACCGACGTCTCTTGCTTCGACGAGGACGCTAGGTACCCAAAGAACTCGCAGGGACGAACAGGTCTACCCTCACGGGTCCCCGACTTTGTTATCCCACGTCCATCGATCCATGGTCATTTGTGGGATAAACAGGTTTATCTTGGCAGGCTCCCTTGGTTCGTCTAGCCCCCCCCGCGTCTCTACTAACCTCTACATCGAGAGGCGTTCGTCTTCGGCGGTTGGAGAAGATCTGGCACACCCGGACAAGATTCCCTTCTTCATAGGAGCTACCCTCCTCTTCTCCCCATCTTTATTTTTTTTTTTTTTTTTTTTTTTTTTTTTTTTTTTTTTTTTTTTTTTTTTTTTTTTTTTTTTTTTTTTGAGGGAGGCAATCATAGTCTTCGTTCGTCATTGGTCCTACCGACGTTCTTACATCGAAGAGACGTTCGGTATCCGCGGACATCACAATGAGGAACAGGTATATCTGCATCGAGATTCCCTTCTGCTTCGTTCGTCCTTGGTCCGTGGTCCTACCGGCGTCCCTACTTCGAGGAGACGTTCGGTATCCGTAGACATCTCAAGGAAGAACAGGTTTATCTGCATCGAGATTCCCTTCTTGTACGGTTGTTGGCGAGAACAGAAGTGATGAAAAACAGGGGGCCTTATTATTGACGACGTCCGGTCATTTTACATTCAGTGGGAACAATACAAGGACAACGGCCTCTAACTATTGATAGAACTTCTTCAGGTGTTCTACGTTCCACACCCCGGCATGGTTCCCCTCCAGGGTACGGAGGAGGAACGTCCCCTGGTTGTATCTTCTGATGACCCGGTAAGGTCCTTCCCAGTTCTTCGCCATTTTGCCACCTTCGAGTGGCTTGCTCTTCTCTCTTTTCCTGAGTACGAGGTCCCCGGCCTCTATTTCGCGGAATTTCACGGCCTTGTTGAAGTATCTCTGGGTGGCCCTGTGATACTCTTCCATGCGACGAGCCGCTAGGTCCCTCCGTTCCTCAATGAAATGGAGCTCTGCTCGTAGGTTGGTCTCGTTGTCTCCCGGCTGGAAGTGCTTGGTGCGATGTGTAGGTACCAACACCTCCGTCGGCACCTTAGCTTGGAAGCCATAAGCCAAGGCGAAAGGGGTTTCCCCGGTCGCCGTTCTTGGCGTCGTCCTGTACGTCCACAAGACATAATGCAACTGCTCCGGCCAGGTGGAGGTGTAGTCTTCCAACTTCTTCTTGATCCCATCCATGATGGTCCGGTTCATGTTCTCCACTTGGCCGTTGGCTTGCGGGTAGGCCACCGAAGCCTTAGAGTGCCTGATGCCCCACTTTGCCAAGTATGCTTCAAAGCCTTTGCCGACAAACTGCCGACCGTTGTCTGTGATGATCTGCTCCGGGATCCCGAAGCGGCAAATGATGTTCTGCCAGACGAACTTCTGGCACTGGAATTCAGTGATGGAGGCCAATGGTTCGGCCTCGACCCACTTCGTGAAATAGTCAACCGCCACAATGACGAACTTCCTTCCACCAGCAGCCGTTGGCAGAGGACCCAGCAGGTCTACGCCCCACCTAGCAAATGGCAGCGCGATGGTCATCGGGGTGTAGAAACTTGCTGGTCGGCCAGGGACAGGTGCATACTGCTGGCATACTGCGCACTTCCGCGTGTGGTTGAAGCAATCTTGCTGTATGGTCGGCCAGTAATAGCCCTGCAGGATGATTTTCCTGGCCAAGGTTCGGGGGCCCTGGTGGCTGGAGCAGATCCCTTCATGTATTTCCTCGATTACTGCCGCCGCCAGGCTCGGCGGGAGGCATCTGAGGTACGGTCCGCCGAACGTCTTCTTGTAAAGTTGCCCGTCAATAAGTTCAAAGTTAGGGGCACGCCTCTTTATCCACGCGGCCCTCCCTGTACTGTCATCACCTTCAGGCTCGGGGAGTGTCCCATCTCTGAGATAATCTGCTATCTCCTTTGCCCAGTTAGGTTCGGCAATGGAGATAACCTCCACCTGGATGACGTCCGTCGCCGGTGCTGGGAATATCTCCTGCCTGACGAAGCCTCTGATGTGTCGGGGGATGCTTGATGTCGGGTCATCGGTTGGGGGGTTGCTTAGTTTTGACAGAATGTCCGCCTCTGTATTCTCCACCCGCGATACCTGCTCAAGCACCACCTGCTCAAATTGCGCGGTCTGTTCCTCCGCCAGCTCTTTGTAGACCTTCATTCTCTCCTCCCTGGTTTCTGCAGTGCCGGTCATCTGGGTTACTACCAGCTGGCTGTCCATTCTCACCTTCAGACGAGCTGCTCCGAGGGCTTTCGCGCATTTCAGCCCTGCGATAAGTGCCTCGTACTCAGCCTCGTTGTTGGTGACCTTGAACTCAAACTTCATGGAGTAGTAGGCTTTGAAACCTTCGGGGGAAGTGATCACTGCTCCTCCGCCGCAGCCCCGCGCACTCGAGGCCCCATCGGTGTACATCTCCCACCAATCGTCAAAGTCATTGTTGTCATGGGTTCTGTCCTCGGTGCGCGCGGTGCACTCCGCAATGAAGTCCGCCAGAGCCTGCCCTTTGATCGTCGGCCTCGGCTTGAAGTCCACGTCATACTGGCCGATCATCAAGGACCACTTGGTTATCCTTCCGCTTGCCATTGGGTTCCTGAGGACTGTGGCGAGGGGCTGAGTTGTGTAGATAGTCACCGGATGTGCCTGGAAATACGGCGCCAGGCGCTTGATGGATGCAATCAAGGCGAGGATCGTCTTTTCCATCAGTGTGTACCTTGTCTCGGGGCCGTTCAGCGCCTTACTTACAAAGTATATTGGCCGCTGAACGCCTTCGGATTCCTTTAGCAGCACGGCGCTTACGGCCAGCTCGGCCACCGCCAAATACATATACAATCTCTCCCCGGGATCCGCCTTGGTGAGGACGAGCGGAGAGGAGAGATATGCCTTGAAATCCTCGAAAGCAGCCTGACACTCCGGGGTCCATTGGAAGGGGTTGGCCTTCTTCATGATCTGGAAGAAAGGGATCGCCTTATCGGCGAGCTTGGATAAGAATCTGCTCAGGGCTGCCAGACGCCCGGTGAGTCGCTGTACGTCTTTTAGGTTCTTTGGGGCCTCCATGTCCATAATTGCCTTCACCTTCTCCGGGTTAGGCTCGATCCCCCGCTCGCTCATCATGTAGCCGAGGAATCTGCCGCCCTTGACGGCGAAGGCACACTTTTTTGGATTGAGCCTCATGCTGGCCCTCTCCATGATGCTGAAGATTCTCTCCATGTCCTGGACATGGTCCTCCTTTTTCTTGCTTTAGATTAGGATGTCATCCACATAAGCTTCCATCGTCTTTCCAAGCACGTCTTTGAATAACATCCCAATCATCCTCTGGAAAGTAGCCATGGCGTTCCTCAGGCCGAATGGCATGACGATGTAGCAATACACGCCGTCCGCCGTGACGAACGCCGTTTTTTCGGCATCATCGGGATGCATGAACACCTGATGGTAGCCTCTGAATGCGTCCATGAAGCTGAGCAGCTCGCAGCCCGCTGTCTCATCCACCAGCAAGTCGATCCTCGGTACAGGATAAGGGTCCATCGGACAAGCTTTATTGAGGTCCGAGTAATCGACGCACATCCGCCAAGTGTCGCCCTTCGGGGCTAGTACCACGTTGGCCAACCACTCCACGTGGATGACCGGCCGGATGTGTTTAATGCTGAGGAGAGTTGCTGTCTCCTTCCTGATGAACTCGCGTCGGTCGGCCGCCATATATCTTTTCTTTTGCTGTACGGGCTTGGCGTCCGACCGCACGGCGAGTCTATGGCATATGAGGTTGGGGTCGATGCCCGGCATGTCCTCCGGTCCTCTGGCGAACAAGATCCTGAACCTTCGGAGGACGGCTATGACCCCTGCCCTGATTTCCGGCTCTAGATCCGCACCGATGGACACCTTCCTGTCCGTCGGATCGTCGAGCTCGATTTCCTCCAGAAGGGTTGCTGGTTCTAGATGAGCGTCCAAGTCGGCCTGTTTGGCCTTTTCGGAGATGCTGTTGACCCGAGCCTCCCGCTCGTTGAGCTTCTCCATGGCCTTCGTGTAGCAGGCCCTGGCCATATGTGGGTCCGTACGTGCCACCCCCACCCCAGTGTCGGTGGGGAACTTGATGCATGAATGTCGTACGGAGCATATGGCCCCCAAGTCTTCCAAGCCGGGTCGGCCCAAAATGGCGTTGTGGGCGCACCTTAGGCGGACCACGACGAACGTCATGCTGATCCGGGCAGTGTGAGGACCGTCGCCGACCTCTACCGGCAAAATGATGGTGCCCTCAGCGTCAATGCAATCCCCGGTGAAGCCGGACAGCGGGGTGCGTAGGGGGTGCAGCATGTCCTTCCGGAGCCTCATTCCTTCGAAAGCCTCCCAGTAGAGGACGTTCACACTGCTCCCGGTATCAACGAGGACGCGACGGACGATAGCATCGTTCACGTCCATGCTGATCACCAGCTCGTCTCTGTGCGGCGCCGGTGACATTGGCAGGTCGGCGGGGCCGAAGGTAATTGCCTCGACTCTATTGCGCTTGGTGGGGGGTGCCGATACGGAACCCACATAGAGTGATCTCTCAAATTTTTTCCGCTCGGCGGGTGTATCCCCTGTCTCAGCGCCCCCGAAGATCACCTTGATCTCCAACTTCTTTTTCTCGCCCTTCGGGCCGAGGGATCCCTCCGGACGTTTATCTGCACTTCGATAATCCACGTCCTGAGGTTCTGCCTCGCGCCGATCGTCGCGGCGCCATGTCTTGTGCCTTGAGTTCGGCTTCTGCTGGCTGTTTTTGTTCAGCAGCTGGGCGAACTCGCCCAGGTACCCCTGACGGATCAGCTCGTTGATCGCTTTCTTTAATTGGCTGCAATTATCCGTCAGGTGGCCGGTCCTCTGATGGTATTCACAGTAGGCCGATTGGTCGTGCCCCATATACCTCTTCATATCTTGGGGCTCCATAAGGAGGCCCTTGTCCTTAATGGCCTCGAAGATCTGGCTCACTGGGTAGGCCAAGGGAAAATAACGGTCGTCCGGCCGCGTTTGGCTGTCTCCGGACGGAGCCTTCCAAGGGACCATTGCCCCGTCCACCTTCTTCTTTTTGTTTGGGGGGGAGGGGTTGGTTCCTGGTCCGGGTCCGAGTCTGTCTGCCATCTTCCGTGGCTGGGCCGCGGGAATTCCGTCCCGCTGCCTGATCTCCTCCTCAATGGAGGCATACTTCTGGGCCCGAGCAAGAACCTCGGTGTAGCTGGTGCCGGGATTCCTCCTTAGGTCCCGGTATAGATCCCCCGTGGCCAGCGCACTGGTGAACATGTTGGCGGCCAGACGTTCGTCCAGATCGTCGACCTGCAGGACCTCGTCCCTCCACCTTACCAGGAACCTAGCCAGCGGTTCGTCCCGCCCTTGTTTGATGTGGGCGAGAGCCGTGACGTCCTTCCTGGGGGTGGTGCTGGCAGCAAATTGTGCCATGAACTGCCGGGAAAGCTGTTCGTATGAGTCAATGGTGCCTGGCCTCAACTGGCCGAACCATTCCTGAGCTGGCCCCCTGAGGGTGCTGAAGAACAATCTGCAGATGGCCTCGTCCGATGCTCCCAGCATGGACAGGTTCCCTTGGTAGCTTATCAGATGGGCCTTAGGATCACCAGCCCCATTATACACCAAGTTCCCCGGGGGTCTGCAATCCCGGGGAATCTCGACGCTCATCACCCGTGGGGTAAAAGGTGATGTGAGAGAGAACGAGGGTGTGGCCGAGCCGGCGTCCGCCCGCCTGTTCATCTCGGCTATCTGCCTCTCCATGGCCTCCAGCCGTGCGTCCTGTGCGGCCCTTCCGGGGGACACAGGGGGCGCGGCTTCGGGAGTGGCATTCTGCTGAGCGGCCACAACATCGTGCGGCCGCCTGAAGATCTGTGCACCTCGCCGCTGGAAACGTCGTCCAACGGTGTTGACCCTTGGGGTCTCGTCTCCCCGCGGAATCTGGCGAGGAGCCGATGGTGTGAGAGCCCTGGATGCCGCGATGCTGACCCTGGTCCGCCCTCCCGTTTCACGGGAGCCTGAACCCCCACCTAGCCGCTCGTGGACTGAGGGCCGGTGGTCACTGGATCCCGTCGTATCATCGTACGACTGCATGCGGCGTATGGGAGAGAGGGGCGTTCGCTGAGTGCTTGCAGAGTACACCTGCTCTCGGGCCTCCCGCTCGTCCGCCATGCGACGCATGGTGTCTGCGAGTTCACGCATGAGGCGGGGATCCTGCCTGGCCTCCAGAGGAATGAGGTCAGTGATACCCCCGTTTCCCCCTGAAGTCCATATTGTCGCGGATAATTCCGAGTTCTGGCCGCGATTCCGGCGGCTCGACTCCAGACGCTCGGAGAGATCACGCTGGGTGTTGCTTCCTGACATCGTATTTGCTGTGGGTAGATTTAGTAGCTGTTTGGGAGAGTTTCTGGAAACTTTTTGCTCAGTTTCCCACAGACGGCGCCAGTGTTGATGTTTATTCCTTCAACCCTTGGACCCAACACGTAAGCCCAAAGATTTCGAGTGGAGTGAGTGTGTGGTTATCTAGCCCAACAACTATTAGATGAATCAGGAAACAAGAGTAATAGCAGGCAATGTAAATAGGTATTATTAACTTCGTAATAACTCCCCTAAGTACAATCTACTTGCTAACAAAGGCACGTCGGCCGTTCGTCTTACAAGGCAGTTAGAAATGCTGCGAGTAAGAGTGCTGAAGCTAGTATGCTAAGAATAGAAAGTTGCCAACCCCTTACAATGAAATAAATGCTTCTATTTATACCCGCCAATGGGCAGGTGGCTGTACTGACGTGGCAGCCTGTGGACCGCTGGTGTCCCAACTACCAAATCTTTAGCATTAAATGCACTTCCCGCCAGAATCTAGGTTTCCCGCCGGAATAGTGGGGACGTTCGTCCACCCGGGAAGTGAGTTGGATTCCTCCAAGTGACCCTTGAGGGATATTGGCTGTTCGTCTCCTGGCCTTGATGGATTCTCACCATGTGGGCTGGGTCTCCTCCGATGACTATGGGCTTGCTCAGGAGACGTTCGTCGTCACCCCTGATGGCCCGTGGCTCCGCTCCTTGTCCCTGCTTAGACGTTCGTCGGGATGAGCCGCTGGGCCTGAGTCCTCCAACACCAGACGTTCGTCCATGCTTAAAGTACATGGGCCTGTGGGCTGGCCTAGTTTCTAGCTGGACGGTCGTCTGGCAAAATGGGTTAGTGGGCCGGACCTCGGCTTGGGCCCTTAACCCAACAATGGTCATAAGAATAAATTGGTATACATTCAAATTAATATCCGTTTAATACTTTCAATCCTTACTCTTACTTTTTTCTTTTCTGCTCTTCTTCTTGGGATGAACTCAAACTAAAACTCGTTTAAGCCCAACGCTATTTCGCCATAAGAGTTGAGAGTATTGATTGATTCACACAGAAATCTATTCTTGTAAATATTATTGCTAGTATATACTACGTATTATTTTTATAAACACTCACAGCTAAAAATAAGGAATTGTTTTTTGAATTTCTCCATTTTTTAAATTTCAGGGAATAATAAGATCGACTATACGTAGTATATATTACTGAGAAATTAACAAACATACGAAAGAGACAAACTTTTTAAAAGCTGCATGCAACGTACTCCATAAGCAATAATGCAAATTTTTGTTGGAGAATGAGAGTGGCCGATTAGCCTGGGATAGAGACTCGTAAAAGTACCAAACCCCACACTTGTAATATTACCGAGTATTATTATTATTATCGGGGGGTTAAAGGACAAATTAACCAGTGTCTAAAAGTGCAAATATGACACTAATGTATTTCTGGGTGCAGATAACATTAAATCGAAAGTTTAATTAACATTTTAGTCACCCACTAACGGAAGTAAAACGGAGTTTGACGTTAAAAACATAAAATGGAGCCTGATATATGGGATCAAACCTTTACATAATTACATACAGCCCTTTACCTAACCATAATAGTTTACTCTAGGGGTGGGATCGGGATGATCCCGATCCCGATTATTGCCCAAATCCCGATCTCGTCCCGATCCCGAGTCAAACTACAAGAGGATCCCGTATCCCGTCCCGATTTAAACAAATACATTTTGAGTTATACATAGGATATTGCTTCACACACACACATAGGTTTGTGTAACATAAAACCAAATAAAGTTGGACAAGCAGATTCAGTGGGACATTTTGCCTCTTTTTTTCTCTATGTGTGTTAAAAGTTGTATGGTCATTGATTTTTTTTTTTTGAATTCAGTATGGTCATTGAATTAATTTCCCTTGCCATCGTAAACCTTGTACGTAAATGGATTATGATTAGCTAAATGGACTTTTTAAAGGTTTGAGTAATTAAGTATATATCACGCTCCATGTTAACGTCAAAGACTGTTTACTTTTGTTTGTGAGCGGCTAAAATGCTAATTAAACCTCCGATTGAATGCTATTCGCACCTAGAAATAGGTTAGTGTCATATTTGCACTTCTAGACATAACGTAACATAGTTTTTAATTTGCCCTTTAACCCTTGTTATCGGTGATCCTGCTTATTTGGAACAAATAAGCCCCATCCGAAATAAAAAAATTATTTAAAATTATATACACACATCTATATGACTATATATATCTATACATATTTCCTTTTTAGTCCCTCTAAAAGTGAACTAAATTTTAATTTATCCCCCCTAATAATTTCTTCTATTATCATTATCTTCACTCCGAGAGTTCGATCGAGACTCGGAGTAGACGACTTCATAACTTCATTCATTATATTTTGTTCATTATGTATTAGAGGGTGTAGAAAAAATATATTTTTGTTCTATTTTTCGGAATAAATATACTCCTGAATAATAAGTAGAAGTGCATATATATCCCTAAACTTTTAAAAGGTGCAAAAATACCACTCATATTCTTATAAAAGAAAAAATTTATTCTTATTGACA